TGAAGCAATTGTTTTCCAAGTAAAAAGGACATGAGCTAGGCTCAGTTCATACCAGAGCTGACGGTGATGGCTTCCATGAACTGCTCTCTCCAGCTGTTTGTCCCGATCACCAGAGCCAGGTTGGTCTTCTTGATGAGCTTATCTACTGTGCTCTGAAAGACCCCACAGTCCACACCATGAAAGGTTTAAAGGTTTATCAGTTTGGCCTCCTGGTGACCAGTCTGAGAATTGACAGGATGCTTTGAAAAATGGTTTGACAGTAATCAAGTCAATTTGGGTACATTCAATTACAACCAGCAGCTTATTTTGGATGAGTTCAGCAAAGATGGCATCATGTTCTGCTGACAAACACAACAACAACATGCTTTGAATTTAGTACTGACTGGTGAGAACTGCTGAGGCTCATGGGTACTGTAGTATTTAGAACTGCCCTCTAATGAAAGCCTGACGAGTTTGAAACAAAGTGTAAATAATTCAATCTGAACCTAAATGAGTCCTGGGCTTCAGCAGGCTAGTTGTTTCCCTCCATTTCCAGTCTTTATGTTAAGCTAAACTAAAAGCTGCTGGGTGTAGCTTCATGTTTACTGCACAGACATGAAGGTGTTGATCAGTCTGAACTGCAGGGGAAAAAAGGAGCATATTTCCTGGAAGGCTTAACTTTTGCTTTAAGAACTGACCAGAGTGGAGACTCTGAAGGGGTTCTGTGATGCGTCCACAAACAAAAGGACCATTTTCCACTTTAACTACAGGACAGGACGCTGATGAAGCTGACTACACTGGACTGGTATTGTTGTGGGGGACACTTTGTTCCTTCCTCCTCCACACAGACTGTTTCCTCTTTACATCTGACTATGTGCTGGTTTCTGATGTTATGACTGTGGCATCTGTCAAACAAAAAATGATTGCACCTTGAACTCATACGACTCCTCGACGATGACCTCTAGTCTGACATGTTCACCCAGCATCGGCCTGCCCATCTCCGCAATCCGCCTCTCCTCCTCCTCCTTCTTGGTCAAAGCCTCCTCACCTTCCTCCTCTAAGACACACAGAGGGTTTAAAGGTCACTGATGAATAAAGATAAACAGGGATTCAGAAAAACGTAAAGAGCATGAGTTAGGGAGTTGGATGAACTGGCAGACATGCAGACAAACAGGTGGATGATGAAGTGGATAGGGAAGGAAATATTTGGCCAATTGCAGGATAACAGATGGTCTGACAAAATGACAAGCAGATGGATGGACAGATGAACTGAAGAATGGACAGACAGACATATATGGCTGGACTCATGGTTGAAGAGGTGGATGGAGTGATAGATTGCTGGTTGGATGGATGAATGAACCTACTGAACTGAGGCATGAATAAATGGATGAATGGACACATGACTGCACCTGTGATGCTGATGATGGTGGAGGGGGCGAGGCGGTCCCGTCCCTGGACCTTCCTGTAGATGTCTCTACCTGAGCAGGTGAACAGAAACAAATTCTGCTGAAACCATGGCTTCTATTGCTGAAGTCAAAACCAGCATCTGAAGCAAAGCGAGACGTGGCAGCCTGACAGCAACACGCTCAGTACAGTCAGGTGGTGACCAACAACATCACTGATATGAAACCTGATGTTACTTATGAGCTGCTGTGTCTGCATGAAGCTGATGGGACCAACGCAAATGATGTCTGGGACTATGAAACAGGCCTCAGGCTGGAAAACAGAGCATGCTCAGTGAGACAGTTTCCCATCAGCCTCAGCTGCAGAGGAGGTCGAAGGTGGAGTGAATGTGTGAAGAGAAGTGAATGGTCACGCCACAGGGTGAGTGAGGTCAGCAGTGTCTGTAGTATGAATGCCTGCAGTCAGAAGAGTGGAGGCGACACACGACCTGTTGGTGGGACCCACTAAGGACTGCCAGGTTTTCTTTGTTGTCCTGTTTGGTCACTGTGTGTAGAGATTACACCAGTGGGGAGCGGGAAGACTGACTGAGTGTAGCCAGGTGCTGCGTTAGCCTGCAGAGCTAGTGTTCTGCTGTGGATGGAATAAAGAAAACACTCTCAGGCTGAGCTTCTTGAACTCTCCAGTGATTCTGGGAAGGCTGCCTCATGGTGGACACTATGTGCTCATTGTGACAACAGATAAAAACCACACTGGCTACACACAGTGTACAGTGCTATGGTGACGTACAACAGCAAATCACAACAAGAAGCAGGGTTAGGGTGAATGTGCAACTAGAGGTCGCTGTGTGCAGGGTGACTGAGGCGGACTGGTCTAGTGGAAAAGCAGTGCAGCAGTCCCCCTCCTCCATAATGATCATGGTGATCAACACAGTTCTGTTGTGGGTTTAATGGTTTGGTCTGTTGTTGAGTTCAGCTAGGAAACACTTCATTTACCAGCCACCTTCACGTGGACAACACTGTGGAAAAGTGAAGCTACTGACCAGCCAGGCAGAGGATGAATTCTTTTAGTGCTGCTGAGCCTCTGGCTCATTGGTTGGCTGAGCTGCTGCTGGGCTGCTAATGTTTTCAAATTAATTCTGTGTATGTGTGAGAATCCCTGAAGCTGCAGGTAACTTCGTCTTTGTAGATCAAACACAGTTTCAGTCATAGATCTAGTCTGAGTCTCAGCTTTAGGCTGTGCAGAGCGAGCGCACATTGATGGAGGAGGTTGAACCACATTAGTGCTGCCACACAAACCAGAGTGAATGATAAACTCCAACAACTGTCGAGTTTGTTGTGTTCTCAAAGGCAGACCCATCTGGTGTACAGACCGTACAACGGGATGATTTTGGTTTCACTGCACAAAGTTACACTTGTTTTACACGAGACCCTCAAGGTCATATGGCAAACACCGTTCATCATTTACTTCCATACACCCGGAATATCATTCAGCATAAAAGCAGATAAGCTGCATATGAGCTGTAATCAATGAATGAAATCTGAGACCCTCAAGGTTCATCATTTACTTCCATACATCCATTCAGCATAAAAGCAGATAAGCTGTATATGAGCTGTAATCAATGAATGAAATCAATTTTTTGGTTGTAATACTGGCTCGATGAGGCGGTGGCAGACTGATTTCTGGGCTCAGAAAAATCAGGACAACATAGCATGACTGAAAACTAATGGAACAATTCCTGTTGGATTGTTAAGGAACAAGTTATAGCTCAGAAAACATCACCTGACCTGTGCTTTATGTTCACTACACATGAATACAGCTCTGTTCTGATTGGCTGACAGGACAGGTCTTTCCTGATCCTTTTACCCAGTGGCTACACAGGCTTAAAATCTCCACTGCTTTTATTCTGAAGGCCAGTGTCCAAAGAGGAAGTCTAACGGCTGTATGCCGAATGCTGTTCAAACGCATGTTCAGAGATTATGTGGTCATGGGGCTCAGTGCTTCAGTGTGTTGAGGACTGATGTCATGTACGTTTCCACTATGACTGTTCAGCCACCACACCTCAGCACTGAGGCGTTAATGCATTTGAGAACACCTCACGTTCAGTTTGACTTGGAGTAAAATGCAGACATGCTGTGACAGAAGGTCTCCAGAAACCTTCAGTTGTCCAGATGTCAGACATCACAGTGGAAACACAAGGAAACGTTCCAAAGGAGACTCTCTGAGGACCGCTACGATGAGCAGACCCCTTCCTCATTGTAGCAGTTCCTCACAGTGTCTTCCTTTAATGAACCTCCTACCACACTCAGGTGACTCACAGGAAGAGGTTCTGAGTGGGCACCTGTTGCTTCCACATGAATCTATTAGAGATCTGTTGGATGTGAACAGTCTGTTTCCAGATGTTCTCCTCAGCTGACATCTGTATTATGTCTGAAGTGGACATAATATCAAAGACAAGCTCTCATTTAACAAACAGGTGAGTCTTTTTGTATTTGATTTAATCTGAACTATTTGTTTTTAACCAGCTTGTTGTGTTTGAGTGTTTTAAAGGGACAGTTAGAAATTTAGTGAATTCCTCTTCTTCTTGTTCGCTGTTCAGACTGGTCCCACTCTCATGTCTGCACACCACATATGAAGCCAGCAGCTGGTTAGCTTAGCTTAGTGTAAAGACTGGAAACAGGTCAAAACAGCTACAGTGTTTAATCTGTACAAAGACCGATGTGTGAAAGTAAAACCATGTCCCAGGGCAGTGGCCACGAGGCCCTGAGAAAGTGAGAGTTGATTTAAACCTGCTGCCGACAGTGACCCAGCCTCACGGGGGCGACTGGTGCAGGACGTTTGTTCTGAAGCTACAGACTAACGGGGGTGGTTGTGTGCTAAATGAGAGCCAGCTGAGACGGCTGCATCTCTGTGATCGTATACATCGTTGCCTCAAGTGTCAAAGCACTTTAAAGCAAACATTCACACCACTGACAGGTGTCTTACCATACAGCTGCTTGTCTACCGAGAAGCCATACAAAAAGCAGGAGTTAACTCGAGTGCAACAGTAAACCATTGAAAACCGAGTGCACAGAGTCCCAGTGTTTGTGTTCACCTACTTGTCTTGACAAATCCACCTGAAAGGTAAGGAGATAGGAAACAAAAAGTCAGAAGTTGCCCCTCATCATGTGGTGGCTGTTTACTAAAATAATACAAATATTCTGATAATGCATGAACATAATTATGCTTCAAGGCTGACAGAGTGAAACTGGGTGACAAACAGTGAGCAGGACAGAAAACAGACAAATTCGAGCAGCTTACCGACTTCCTGAAGCAACACGGCTGAAGAGAAGGAACAGACGAGAGAGAGATCAGAGAGAAAGTGACAGAAAAACAAGACAGATGAAACCAAGAAGACTCAGATCCAGTCGGAGCAGCAGGAGACGTTCACTTCTAGTTCAGTTTCTCCACAACCTACATGTTCTGACTGAAACTCTTATTAATATTCTCAGCATCCTGCTAATAACAGGAGTCATTTGCTCTTCTGAAAAACCTTTGGTCCTGATCCAGGAACTGACCTGCTGCTATTCCAGATCTGGATCTGATGAAAAAGAAGTTATTCGTGTAGGAAGAACTGGGCCCTGAACTGTGGACTGTCAGAAAATACATCAGTGTTGATTAAAACCTGTAATAACTTGTTATTCTGTTAACATCAATGTTGTGAATCCTGGTTGATGTTTAGTACGTTATGTTACATTTGGTGCATGTCCAAACCAAAACAAATGCAGACACAGACAGGTTTAATAAGACAGGGAGAAACTGGAGTGCAGAGCACCTGTGCTAACCAGTCCTGACCTGGGCCAGCCAGTCCTGACCTGTGCTAACCAGTCCAGACTGTCCCATCCAGTCCTGACTGTCCTAACCAGTCCTGACCTGGGTCAGCCAGTCCTGACTGTCCTAACCAGTCCTGACCTGGCTCTACAGTCCCTCCAGTAATAACTAAGAACCACGTCAGCTGATGGAGCTGTGGAGGAGGAGGGAGCAGAGCGACAGCAGTAATAGTGAAGCTGAAGGAGAGGTTAAAAGTCAGCAGAGAGGTCAGAGGTGCGTCTTCACACCTGTCCACCTCTTCCTGTTCCAATATGGCTCCTGCAGCTCAATGTAGAAGTTGGTCTGCTTATCGTACTCCTCGTGGTCAGTTATTCTAACAGCTATGGTCTTCCTGCAGACAACAACGGGGGGTGGGGGTTCAGAGGTCAGGGGTCATGGATTGCACACACATTCAAACAGACTCGGACAGACCGATGGGTGGAATCTGACAGGAGGCCTTGGTTATGGTGTCTGCGTAACTGTGGAAACACCGTGGTAATGCCATGGTAACGCTGTAGTAACGAGGGAGTGGCCTCACCTCATCCGGCCACTGAGGATAAAGTCACCATGAAAGAACTATGACCGCTTCACCTGATCAGCTACGGTTTTAGTGTTATGAGCCAATTAAAAGGTCATTTTCCATGGAGTCAGCGAGCAGCTCCTGTGTGCAGTGTCCCCATGGATGTACACACAACTGTCACTGGATTGCTGTGAGACTGAAGGGAACTTGGGAGTATTGTCAGACAGCCCCTTCTCTCTGGCCTGTCAGTGGGCCTGTGGATGTTTGTTGTGGAGGGACATCAAAGATGGCAAGATTCTCAGGACGTGGACGTCGCACTGAGTCAGTATGCGTTTCATGTCTGTGTACTCACATGTCACTGAGGTGCGAGTGAGAAAACCTGTGATCAGTTCAGCTCTGATCTGAACTGAAGGTGCTACAGCCGTTCGTTCACTGTGACTTTAACCGTCAGTTTAAATCTGACCTTTCTCCCTGCGAGGCCAAAGGTCAAAGGTCATTAGTGATAAGGATGGGGACACAGCACAGGATGAGGACAGCCCCACCTTTCCTCTCACTCATCTCCAGCAGCTCAGGTGCTCCGATCTCTAGGAAGAAGTTCTTGTTTTTCTCATATTCTTCATCAACGATTATACCGATCTGAATAGTTTTGCTGAAACAGAAAGACAAAGAGAAGGAGAAGTGTGCACGTGTCTGAGGTGTGATGCAGGACAGAAAACAAAGGGAACAGAGACATGAGGTCAAAGAGAAAAAAGCTGATCACTGTAAGCACTGATAACCCCGTGGTTGTATGAAAACTCATTGTTCGGTGCCATAAGAAGCCAAAGCCTTCACTCACTGTGATTCACAAGCCACACATGTCCAGTCACCTCTCAGCCGGTGTGTCGGTGCACACACACAGACTTTGCATGCACAAAGCTCGGAGGGTCGAGTCTCTCCAGAACCAAAAACAAAGGATGTTAGACCAATTTGACTTCCAGCCCAGAGCTGAAACATCATGACACAGCTAGAAAGTCTGTTGCACCGGTTTGTGTTTCAGGCGTCTGGGTGTTGGTTTATCAGAAACACTGTTCTGTAACACGGAGCCACTGGAGGTTAATGTACAGAACAATGGTGGAGCTGTAGGTGCAGTGTGACTGTGGGTCTGCTTATTATCTGTGCAGTTTTACATGAGCCCCATGACTTTTCTCTGGAAACAGAAGTTGAGATTAAAAGTACTGGAGACGGGGCTGGGGGCCAGCTGTGACCTCCCCTGTCGCTGACTCTGAGAGGAACATGCTGCCGTTATCTGTCTACTTTATGGGCAGATGCTGCGACGATGAGCAGGATCCTGCTGCTGCTGCACACAGGCTGCCCTAATAAGGACGAGAGCAGCGTGATGTTTATCTGGCCAACACAGCAGCATGACATGTGAACCTCCGAGCTGGGAATCCACACACAGCAGAGTAGCTCGGGAGCCAAAAACATCAGCGAACATCTGCAGCCTGTCAACAAAGATCCAACAGCCACTTCAACCCAGAAAACTGAAACAAACAGACACCGGCAAATTAAAGGAGCACGCCACTAAGGTATTGCTGTGAGGCTGGGGAACTCATGGCAGACAAAGGTAAATGTCTGGGCAGGTTAGCAAAGAGACTGCCTGACTTTAGTCTAAAAATACTGGATCCAACATTTCCCATAATGCAACAGAATTAATTTGAGCCTCCCTGCCTGGTAAACAGCTGTATTTTTAAATGTCACGCCTCAAGCATTTATCAATACCTAGTATGGCAAGTTCGGACTCCTGTACTTGTGAGTTTGGACTTTAAGTACAACCTCCTGAGAACGAAAGGGCGCAGTATTCTCAATGTGCAACTGGAACACCAGTACTGTGCTCTGAATGAGGTGCAGCTGCCTGATAATTATAGCTGACTGGTCCGTTAGCAGGCACTGGCATCTCTGAAAATGTCAGATAAAGCTTCCAAATTGGCATTACTTGATAAACTGACCACATATTCTCAGTCTCAGTGAAAGACTTTCTTACCTGAAAATAGGTCAAAACATTATAAAGTGGAAATAATAACAGTCCTAGGATAAAAATTATAACAGCCTTGAGCCTGGCTCAAACTGCAATAGCTGGCACACAGTGCATTCTGGGATACTTGTAGTGGGATATGTGTACTCGGCTGGATGCAGGCTTTGAACTGGAACAGTACCCGGGCTGTGACTGATGATGTTTCACAAGAACATAAGTACAGAGAAGTATGTATATTAGAAAACACCTTCAGTTTGTAACCTAGACTTCCTGATGACATCGCCATGACATCATCACATCACACGATGTTGTACACAGGCTGAGGACTACCTGGACCAGTAAACGGACTGTGACAGAGGGCCCCACAGCTAATGCACAGATGAGACCCCAACTTGGACCGGTGTGTCTCTTGCCATGCACAGTGCTTTGAGCTAAATGCTAACATCAGCATGCTACCATGCTGTAGGAAAGAGGTGAAGAGGTGAGTGCAGGTTGGAGTGGGTGGAGAAAGGTGTCAGGAGTGTTGTGTGACAGAAGAGTGGCAGCAAGAATCAAAGGAAAGGTGTACAAGACAGTAGTGAGACCAGCTATGCTGTATGGGTTAGAGACTGTAGCAGGGAGGAGAAGACAAGAGGCAGAGATGGAGGTAGCAGAGATGAGGATGTTGAGGTTCTCTTTAGGAGGGACCAGGATGGACAGGATTAGGAATGAGCACATCAGAGGGACAGCTCAGGTTGGCTGTTTTGGGGACAAGGTCAGAGAGGCCAGATTGAGATGGTTTGGACATGTGCAGAGGAGGGATAGTGGTTATATTGGTAGAAGGATGCTGGAGATGGAGCTGCCAGGCAAGAGGTCAAGAGGAAGGCCAAAGAGGAGATATATGGATGTGCTAAAAGAGGACATGAAGTTAACTGGGGTGAGAGTAGAGGATGCTGAGGACAGAGTTAGGTGGAAACAGATGATTCGCTGTGGGGACCCCTAACGGGAACAGCCCAAAGAAGAAGAAGAAAGGCGATATCTTTCAGGTTGTTATCACACAGACAAGCTGCATGTCCTGCCACTTTTGTTTCACTGGAAAGTTACAGAAAAGGATAAATGATGATCAACTAATCACATCAGCTCTAGTGAAGACAGACACCTGTTATTCAATTTGTATTGTCTAATAAAAAGTTAAACTGTATTTAATACAGACTGCACTGCCTCTGTTCATTTTCATTTATACCTTATTTTACTCTTCTATTTCTGTTTAATCTTTATTAAATATTCCTTTGGAATCACAGGGAATAGACAAATTATTAAATATTACATAATTAAGGAGTCAAACTAATCAAGTTTTAATTAATGAGTTCACTAATTAACAACTTGTATAGTTCGTCTGATTGGTGAAAAGAGCAATCAAACTGTTTCCCTGGACCCTGAACTCATCATGGAGGCCTCAGAGCGGTGAGGGAGGTTTAAAACACCCACATGTGTTGACTCCTGACCAATCAGATGTGCCAGATGTTCGTGAACTACCTGAGGTTTGTTGAAAGGTATTTGGAGCTGAAGTGTGAAGTTTCCTAAACACTGGGCTGTGAAAATCCAGAAGCAGTAGGATCAGACTCCAGTACTCTGTTCCACATGAACAGCAGCGGCTTGAGGCTCCTGTCACACTTAGCAGTTCTGTTCACACATCCTCACTGGGAACTCCTGAAGATACAAGTCTCCAACCAGAAGATCTGACAGGAGCTGCGTCCACACAGAGACCTTTATCCTACTCAGAAACTGAGACTGATTGGAGGTGTCTCAGTGAACAGCTCAGTCAGAATAACATCCATCATGCACGACCCCTCCCATCCCCTGCACCACACAGTAGAGGCTCTGAACAGTTCCTTTAGCACCAGACTGTTACATCCCCAGTGTAAGAAGGAGCGTTACCGTAGGTCGTTCCTCCCCACAGCAATCAAACTGTACAATACATCAGTGCAGTGATAAGCTAGGTGAAAGTATGAGGGACTATGTAATAATCTACTGTGGTTCAATATTCAGCTCCTGGGGGTGAAATGCATTGTAAATAGGCTCATGTGTAACATCTTGTTCCTGATCTCTCTCAAATACTGTTCATTGCCCTGCTTTAGGTATTTTTGAGTAGTTGCTCAGAGATCCTTACGGCTGAAACACAGGTTTCTCTCCCCCATTGTGGGATTAATTGTGTGAGTAATATTCGATTGTTCTTGATTTTCTGGTTGTTTAGTCTCTACTGCTGTTCCTGATTCTCTCCAGTGCTGCTCTGCCCTGTTTTTAGGTGCCTTTGATTTG